CACAAATAATAATTACTATTTAAATTTATTTAATGTTGTTGTTGTTGTTTTTATTATTCGCTCGAGAGAGCAGGCAAAGAAACTAAGCCATACAGCCTTAAATTTGTTTAATCTCAAATGTTATTTTTAAAAGTCTGCGGAGTGTATACCAAAGCAAAATGCATTCTTTTTTAACATTTCGCATAATATATCTGTGTAAATATACATTTCTTAATAAAAAAAACTGAAAAAGTTAATAAATTACAATCGAATTTTGACCACAAGTCGAACAATAGTATTTTTAACTATGCTATGAGGCTTAACGAGGCTATATAGGTGCAAAACACCCTGTCTTGTAGTTGATGTGTAGGCGTGAAACCTGGGTCTCACCAAATTACTCGAATAATGGCTCTTCCCTTCCTTTTATTAAATTATATTCTATCTACAAGGAAGACAGTAGTAGACTGCCTCATCGGTCTAATAGTTGTCAGCGCGACTGCTCATATAGTCTTGGGTTCGAATCCGAGGCCGGTTACGAATCTCAGATCTCAGTAACAGCCCGAAGTCAGCTTATGGTTGGCCAAAGTAAACGCCGTATCTCGGGAAGTACGTAAATCCGTTGGTCCTGCGCTCGATCTTTAGCCGGTTGTGTCTCTTTGTTGTCTAATTGGACTATGAGAGTGATGAAAGAGAGAGTGTACTTGTGTTTGCACACACACTCGTAGACTACAATTCCGTCCTACGCTGAGCTGAGATGGCTAGGCTCCGTTAATACTGGCCACCCTGACCGAATTTTATACATTTGTTTATGATTTAAAAACCAGTTAAGATTGAGAAGAAAGAAATGTGCTCTCTAAAAATATTTTTATATAGGGCTACGTACGTTGACATAAAAAAAAACTTTTACAAAATGCCAAAGCCTTATTTCCCTCATGATGAGCGTCATATTTTGTTAAAGCAAATTTTATTAAAATACGGACGCCGATGAGTGTACTTAGCGAAATTTACATCAAAAAACGTTAACTGAGATAAAAGATAACTAAGAAAAAAGCGAATTACACAGAGTATTTTATTTTATTTAAACATTTGATACGTGAATGTCTGTGTCTAATGTGTATTTTATTTTATTTAAACATTTGATACGTGTATGTCAAAAAATCATATTTTTGCATGACCTGGGTTCTTTTTTATTTTATGTTTTGTGATTCGTAGGCTATGTAGTGAAATCACTCGTTCATGTCATAAGTTGTTTGAATTAACTGTAAAGGACACAAAAGTATGTAGTTTTGTAGTCATTATTAAATAAAGTGAAATGAAACTCAACGTTTCAATTATTTAATTTTTAGCGGCAATTTTAATTAAAACGGCAATTATTAAAAAAGGCTGTATATTGACTGTTCTATTATCTTATAACCTCAGTAGCACATAATTGTTATTATGTGAGCGCAACAACTTACTGTCCTTTAATCCGAGAGAAAAGCCAATAATCATCATTACAGCCCTTCACAAGTTCACTGCTAAACATAAGCTTCCCCAAAGAAGCAATGCCACAAAGCACGGTCCTGAGCCACCTGCATCCATCGACTTCCTGCGTGTCTTACCAGGTCGTCCCTCGCGTCAGGCGTAGTCTAGGGCGACCCCCCACTAGATGGGGGGTCGCCCTATACTACGCCTACCGGTACGAGGCTGCCACTCGAGAACCTTTCTTCCCCATCGGTTATCGGTTCTTCGAGCTATATGGCCGGCCCATTGCCACTTCAGCTTACTAATCCGTAGGGCTATATCGGTCACTCTGGTTTTACTGCGGATATCCTCATTTCTGAGTCTATCACGCAGAGAAACTCCGAGCATAGCCCTCCTCATAGCTCGCTGAGCGATCTTGAGCTTCCTCATACGGCCAGCAGTGAAGGACCACGTCTGAGATCCGTAACCCATCACTGGCAATACGCACTGGTCGTACACTTTAGTTTTATGAGATTGAGGTATACCTGACGAGAAGATGTGTCGTAATTTCCTGAACGCTGCCCAGCCGAGTTGAATCCGTCGATTGACCTCTCGGTCGAAGTTGGACTTACCTAGTCGGACTATTTGTCCCAGGTAAACGTACTCGTCAACAACTTTGAGCATAGTGCTACCAACAACTACCGGCATAGGTGTGACATGATCTTTGTTTTGTCCATGTTCATCTTAAGACCTATCCATAAGGACTTATCGTCGGCAAATCAAAGGTGAGTGATGTACTCGCTATTGATGTTAATACCGTATCCTTTCCAGTCCAGTAGCTTGAAAACGTCTTCCAACGCAGCGGTGAAGAGTTTCGGGGATATAACGTCACCCTGTCTTACACCTCTCTGCAGTTGGATAGGTTTCGAACTCTGGTTCTGTATTCGGATAGCCATCGTAGCCCTACAGTACAAACACTTCAGCACTTCGATATAACGACAGTCAACTTGGCACCGCTGATGGGACTGTAGCACCGCCCAAATTTCGACGGAATCGAAGGCTATCTCATCTCATACGCCAGGCAAAGTGGCAGATTGTACTCCTTGGTCTTCTGTACAATCTGCCGCAGGATATGTATGTGGTCTTTGGTACTGAATCCTTTTCGGAAACCGGCAAGTTCGGGAGCCCCGAAGTCGTCGGGTCTGCGTGTAAAACGATCCGTAATGACTCTCGAAAACAGCCTGTAGACGCGGTTCAGATGAGAAATCTGTCTGTAGTTCTTCATCGCACTTCTGTTACACGCCTCTGGTGTAGTGCCACCATGGAGGACGGAATCGAAGAGCTTCTTTAAGTTCTGGTGTTCCACGCGCTTTCAGAAGGTCTCTTCTCTACCGTGACTGCCTTTGACACTACAGTGACTGCCTTTGTGAACAGTTGTGTACAACTTTTTGCGATAATTAGTCTATAATGTGCATGCTATAATCACCCTAGTTGCATTAACTATTACCGCTAATACTGTGTGCGTAAAGTGCAGTGCAATTTGTTTATTTTTTGCCACTGTTTGATTTCGTTCTCGCTCCGCTGCTCGTGGTCATAACTGAGGGGCGCCTAACCCCCGCGTGAAGAGTGTGACTACTATTTTTCGTCCCGTTCCTACTCATCGTGTAAATTGTTGTGTCGTCGTAAACAATGAACAACTCGCAACGCGCATCTCCGATCAAAGTCTCCTCGATCCCCGATTTATCTAATATGTCGGTAGATATGGAATCTTACGTTAACTCGCGTAAAAGAAATCAAATGGAATGCGAACATAATGGAATGTCTGCAATTTTTTGAGCAAACGATGGAACAGCAAATGAAACTTTTGAATGACAGCATAACTAACTGTATTACAATCGCCGTCAACTCCGCAATTATCGAACAACTATCACACGTTACTTCGAACTTGTGTGAAATAAATTTAACCTTACAAAAACTCAATGAGGATAACTCTAAAATTAATAAATCACTATCTGAAACCAATTCTCGTTTATCCGAAATGGAAATATCTCTTAGCACGTCCATACAAAGGCTGGATTTATTTGTGAGTCGATTGCAAGCATGTGAGAATGTCACTTCTCAATCTGCAGAACTGTCCACACGAGTTCGATCCCTTGAGATCAAAATGGACGAAGTTGAACAACAAGCTAGACTCAACAACCTAGAGATTACTGGAATCCCTGAAAAAACGCGAGAGGATTTGTTATTGCATTTTCGTAACATAACTAATTTCCTGGGAATCGAAGTATCGGCAAATGACGTAATTCACATGTCGAGGATTCGTCCGTTTAAGGTGGTTCCCGGTCGTCCCAAGGCGATCGTAGTGAAGCTGAGTTCCCGTTTGCTACGCGATTCAATCCTTGCTGCGGTGCGTGCTAAAAAAAGGACTTGGACTTTGTGACATCGGCTTTCCTGACGAGGGGTCCAAAATATATGTAAATGAACACTTAACACCGTCTAACAAATTACTTCTTAAAAATACTAAATTAAAAATGAAGTCTGTCCTATACCAATATTTGTGGGTTCGTGATGGTAAAATATTCGTCAGGAAAACGATACCACTCACTCTTTACGTATTAAAGACAGCTCGGATATTTTAAAAATTGTTTGACTATTTGTAAGTTTTAATCTAATCGTAATTTGCATCTACCAGTACTTATATATGATATGTAAACATACTGTGTTGTGCACAAAGTTAGGCTATATTTATATAGGTAGGCATTATTATTTAGTTGTTATCAATAATATCAATATCTATGTATGTACAACAATAAGATTATATGTTTATTTATACGTATTATTGTATAAAGTATTTTTTTAATATATTTATATAAAAGTTATTGTGTGTATTGCTACCTACATATAGGTGTATACCTACATATAGGTGTATACAAAACATATTTTTTAAAACTTTTTTAACTATTGTAATTCGTCGTATCCATATCCACGATTATCCATCCGTAGTAGATCCATCCGTATCCACGATTTGGCCGTCTCTAAGATAATACACTACTATAAATGTTGTGAGGCTGTTACTTATTTATGCTGTAAACAAAAACGTATTTTTAGGTTTACTTTCACTGCTCACTATCTTTATTTACTATTTGCACCGTGCTGGTTGTACGGGAAGTTATTAAAAAAAAACTTTATAGATTCATATTCATTCCTTAATGGTGTCTATAGATAGGAAATTAAATATATTTTATAAGAACGTACGTGATCTCCGTACCAAATGCCTTGACTTATAATATACTATCGTGTAACTATAATGTTATACTCCTCACTGAAACTTGGTTGCAAGATGATATATTTGATAATAATAATAATAATAGGGAAGTGACGACCCCATCGCCCGCTGACGTAACAGTTATGTGACAAAACTGCAACGTCGGCGCAGTCAATCAGCATCCTGCCAAGAGGTGTGAGCGCCGTGCCTAGGCAAAATTGTAGATGCAAAGGTCCGTTTGTGCATATGACCCAACCACGAAACGGTGCCGGGCTTGGGCGTCTCCCGTTATTTGGCGCCCATAAAATGGATGATGGAAGAAACACAGAAAGGAACGCGCATAGGGCCGCTGCCTGGGGGTCGCCGGGGCGCGTCTGGAGCTGGCGCTGGACGCGGCAGCATGCGGGCCGCCAGCCGAGCGCGAGGACCTGCACGATCATCTAGCAGCCCCTCGCATCCATCATCCCCACCAGAAGGCTTGGTGTCGGCTGGGTCTTCTCGGACCCAGCAAGCGGCACCCGCCGCTGGTGGAGCACGTCGCATGCGTTGGACAAAATCCATGAACGAAAACGCATTGCGGGCGTACTATAGGGCGAAAGGGGAAGAAACTGTAGGAATAGCGTATAGGTCTCGGATGCATTGCTTTTTTGCTGAGCTGGAGTCGTCTATCCCCGTCACGGAACAAAACCTGGCAGACCGAGTTCGGTACATCATGCGCTCGAAAATATTTGATGATGCCGAACTCGAACGACTACGACGTGAGGCTATTCCGTCGTCGAATGAATCGGCTATGGCTGGAGATGCAGCTCCACATTCGACAGACCAGCATCCACACGTGGAAGCCACCATGGATCTTCCAGTTGTGGTTGATTCGAACGACGATGAAATAGTCTCCCACAAACTAGAGCAAATGAGGAGTATATTGGAAGAGGCGATTTTGGAAACGCGCAGCACCCCTCTCGAAAATCGACCGCAACTTCCCCCGCATACCCCTAAGCAAACGAAATCTGGCTGTCGTGAGGGCTCTTAACCCAATGCTGGTGACCTATTTGGAAGCTAGCCGGGACGTTTGCGAGAAGGACTCGATTCTCTTTGGCGCCGCAGTGGCAGTTTGCCGTATTATTGGCGAAAAACTTCCCATGGCTGGACGCGCTACTACACAAAGTAGCACCATTCCAGCCTGGAGAAAAAGAATCGAGGACCGTATCGCAAAGGCAAGGGCCCTTATCGGCAGACTGACAAGCTTCAGGTCGGCTAATAATAGACCAAGGATTATGCGCACCGTTAGGATGGCGTTTGCTGGGACAAATATCAGTTTGTCCCAGCCGGATATCACGCAGAAACTAACGGAGCGCATAGACGACCTGAAGCAAAAGATCGCTGCTTGGGGGAAGCGGATTCGACGATTTTCCGAGAGGTCAAGGCGGTTCAATCAGAATCGTCTCTTCCAGAGTGATCAGAAGAGGCTCTATAAATCATTGGAGCAACCAAAGTTATGTGGAGCGGGCCAAGGACCGGATCAGGGTGACATTATCGCATTCTGGCGTGGCCTGTGGTCAGAGCCCGTAAACCACAGCGAGGGCCCTTGGATGGAAGTTGTGGCGAGCCAGGGTGCGAGTGTTACGCCTATGGACCCCATCACCATAACGCCAGAAGACGTGGCTGAGGCGGTCCGTAGGGCCCCGAACTGGAAAAGTCCGGGGCTCGACGGGCTGCATCATTACTGGCTGAAGGGGTTCATAGTGTGTCACGCTGTGCTCTCCCGACAGTTTCAAGAGGCTCTCGACCAGAAGTCACTCACGAGCCTCTTCACTACTGGGATCACTCACTTGGTTCCTAAAGATCAGGATACCACAGACCCGAGCAAATACCGCCCCATCACGTGTCTACCCACCATATATAAGACACTGACATCCGTTTTGAGCGCGAGAATCACTCGTCACCTGGAGCTAAACCAGGTGATGTCACGCGCTCAAAATGGATGTCGGGGCGGTGGTCGTGGAACTAAGGAACCACTCCTCATTGACGCGGTCATAGGCAAAGTGGTGAAACGCAAACGTCGGAACTTCTCTGCCGCCTGGATAGACTACAGAAAGGCGTTCGACTCGGTGCCCCATACATGGCTAAAGAGGGTCCTCGAGCTGTACAAGATTGACTGTACAGTTAGAGACTTCCTCGAGCAGTGTATGGGGCAGTGGAGTACGATCCTTTGTCATCTGGGCGAGCGGATGACGGCTGCGGAGAACCACATAAGGATAAGAAGGGGTATCTTCCAGGGCGATTGTCTGAGTCCAATCTGGTTCTGCCTCTCTCTTAACCCTATCAGTACTTTACTGGAGGGCTCCGGGAGGAGATTTCAGCTATGGAAAGAAGGGACAAAAGTGACCCACCTTTTCTATATGGATGACCTCAAGTTATTCGCCTCCAGTCGCTCCCATCTTATGGAACTGCTAAACGTCACTTGTGAATTTAGCAGTTCCATTGGAATGGAGCTGGGGACGGATAAGTGTGCGGTCCTCCATGTTGAAAGGGGAAGGGTTGCTAACTCTGAGGGCATAGACTTGTCTATGCCCGTCAACTTAGGGACCCTTTCCGAGGCTGAAACATACCGATACCTGGGTATGTCACAGAACATCGGTATCGATGAGGCTGGTATGAAACAGTCAGTTTGCGACGTATTTTATGCACGCTTGACCAAAGTGCTTAACAGCCTTTTGTCCGGTGTGAATAAGTCACACGCATATAACTACTGGGTCATGCCTGTTCTCATGTATACCTTTGGCATACTCAGGTGGACTCAGAATGAGCTTAACGCCCTGGATAGAAAAGTCCGCACTACCATGACGTCCCATAGGATGCATCATCCGAGATCGTCGGTAATGAGGCTGTACTTGCCGCGAAAGTATGGTGGGCGTGGCTTTCTGAGCGCGCTCACCATACATAATCGCGAAGTGTGCAGTCTCCGTCAATACTTTTTGGCGACATCGGATGATCCATTCTATAATGACGTCATTTCTAGTGATAAAGGGCTTACCCCTCTATCCTTAGCCAACGAGCAATGGCAGTACCCAGCAGTGCTTAGCATTTCCGACCGGGAGACCGTATGGAAGGAGAAAGAGCTCCACGGGAGGTACTACAAGGCTCTACATGAGCCCTTCGTAGATACAGTCGCCTCCCTCAACTGGCTACGTTTCGGTGACCTCTTCGGGGAAACCGAGGGTTTTGTCTGTGCAATACAGGATCAGGTTATTAAGACCAACAACTATCGGAGATACATCCTAAAGAATGGCACCGTCGACGTCTGTCGAGCTTGTCGCCATCCCAGGGAGTCACTCAGGCATGTCATCTCCGGTTGTTCGGCGCTTTCTAACTCTGAGTACTTGCACAGGCACAACCTAGTAGCCAGAATTCTACACCAGGAGCTCGCTCTGAAATACGGTCTCGTGGACCGGAAATTGCCGTATTACATGTACTTGACGGAAGCCGTGCTCGAAAATGACCGCGCCAGGCTCTACTGGGACCGGACCATCATCACAGACAGGACTATTCTTGCGAATAAGCCTGATATTGTGCTGATGGACCGGGCAAAGTCAAGGATATTTTTGGTCGATATTACCATCCCGTATGACGAGAACCTCTTGAGAGTCGAAACAGATAAGTAATCAAAATATCTAGACCTGGCTCACGAGGTGACCGACATGTGGGTGGTCTGCCGACCGAAATTATTCCTGTAGTCGTCTCTGTGAATGGGCTAATCCCAGTTAGCCTCTCTGGTCATCTGAGGCAACTGGGACTCCGTGACGGACCGCTCCGGGCTCAAATGCAGAAGGCGGTGCTCCTTGATACTCCGCCGCCTTCTCCGCCGGTTTCTTTCCCTTTCACCCTAACCCTTGTCCGTTTGGTCTCCCCTGCCGAGGGCTTCCATCTGGTTGGGTTTTATTTATTTATGTATTTTCCTATTTATTTTATTTTATTGATATTTATGTATATTTATCTTTTCATTTTCGTTTATAATTATATATTTATACATCCCAACCAGATGAGAAAACTATATAGATACCCCACACATAATAATAATAACAATTCTTTATTGAACACAGAAATTAATATACAATTCATAGATACCCTGACTCCTAAACTAGGTTACCCTGTATGTTAGGAGGCAGTTTCCCCTCCCATTCAGTTATCTTACATTCCGTGCACAATGCAGACTCTAAACATAGACCAAGAAAAATAAAAAAAAATAAACAAAGTGTATGTATGAATGCATGCGTGCGCGTGCGTGTGCGTGTGTGCGTGTGCGTGTGTGTATGTGTGTGTGTGTGTGTGTGTGTGTGTGTGTGTGTGTGTGTGCGTGCACGCGTGCGTGTGCGCGCGTGTGTGTGTGTGTGTGTGTGTGTGTGTCTGTGTGTCTGTATTTGTTAAAATATGTGCTTAAAGTAGGTTTTCACAGTTTTCATAGTCGTATTCTTTTAGCCAAATTAAAATAGTTTGTTTAATTTGGTGTCGTTTTAAGTTCTTTAATTTAATTTTTTTATTAATAGCATTGTATAAATGGGGTGCTTGGTAGTCATATTGCCTTTTTGCTAAAGCGCTTTTGACAAATGGTACTGGAAATTTTTGTGTTCTTTTGTTTCTATATACATCTATGGGGCAAATATTATGATATCGTTTTATGCATTGGTATATATACGATTTTCGTACACTTAGGACATTTGCCAATTCATATACTTTAGATGTTGGGTGTGTATAAGGAAGATTTAATATTAGTTTTAATATAGATCTTTGAGTTCTCTCGGCCTCTACAAGGTACGTTTTGGGAGCTCCACCCCATGAGCAGATACAATAATTTATGAGACAATGACAAAGGGCGTTATATGTCTCAATTAGCAGTTTTTATGTCGCTACAGTTCTTAGGTTCTTAAATACTATAGTGAGTCTCCGAATTCGTTTAGATACATTTGCTATATGAGGTTGCCAATTTAATCTTTCGTCGAGGATTACTCCAAGGTATTTTATCGTAGATGTTCGTTCTAATATTGTACATTTACATCTCTCCTTTTTTTGAGACGTATTACACGGGTACCTAAGCATGGTGACAGAAAAGCTATGTGGTGGTCTTGAGATTATAGTTTTATAAAAACAGATGTATTTTGTTTTTGTACCATTGACGGTTAAAAGATTATTTTCCAGCCATTTTGTGACCACACGTAATTCAATTTCAGCACAATGTTGCACAGTATCCCAGTCTGTACCATGAAAGAGTATTGCAGTATCGTCCGCAAACATAAAAAGTTCCGCACTATCGATGTTAATTTTACACAATTCATTTATGTACATCAAAAATAGTGTTGGTCCAAGAGTGCTGCCTTGTGGAACACCATAGCTACATTCGGCTTTATCACTTAGCTTATCTTCAACACGTAATATTTGGGTTCTGTTTATAAGATAGTTACAAAACCATGCATATGGCATACCTCTTATACCTAGATTTTCGAGACATCCGAGAAGTATAGGAATAGACACGGTATCGAATGCTTTTTGCAAGTCTAAGAAAACACATATGCAATTATCACCTTTGTCTACATAAGATGTTATTTTTGATGTCAGTTGTAAAACTGCGTCTTCTGTTGAACGATGTGTCCTAAAACCAAATTGATTCGCAGCTAGATATCCGTAGCGCTCTAAATATTTTGTCAATCTTTTATTCACGAGCTTCTCAATTATTTTTGAAAAATTAGGTAACAATGTAATCGGCCTGTAATTTGAAGGAGCGGTATTATTGCCAGATTTGTATATTGGTGTTACTATGGCCTGTTTGAAGGATGACGGAAATTGCCCTGTTTGAAAACTAGTATTACATAGATGTGCTATAGGTGCGCAAAGAATTTGACTATACCTTTTAACGAAATTAACAGTAATTTTGTCCCAGCCAGTAGAGCTATTTGATTTAAGTTCGTTAATGGTAGTTTTTACTTCCTCAGAGTCTGTTAGGAAAAACGCCATCGAATGTGTTGGACCTATCTGTTT